TTGAAACAAACTTGTATATGGTAGTATACTCCTTTTAGACACATTTTAAACATATTTCGAAGTGAAAAATAGAATGAATTGGGAATTTTTTCATCTTTTACTTAACTAAGATACTTTAAAGTATAATAAAATGTGACAAGGAATATAATTTTATAGTATCTTTTATTTTAAATTGCTGAAAAGATAAAATATCGGGGGTGGGGGGAAACCCCTTAGATACTACTAAAATTGATTTCATGGTATGTTACAAAGATTCGAGAAGGCTACTGTGGATTTGCATTTTTTGTGAGTTCTTGAAAGAATGAGTTGAGATTATAGATGCTAAGTCCCCTTGTGGTGGTGTAATTTTTTTTTTTCTACAGCTGTAACTATATGCATATAGTAAACACAGAAGTCCAGTAGCTCATTTCCTTTTTTTGTCTTTGCCTGAGGAAATTGTATATATTAATATAAAACTGTGGACATGTGCTTTTAAATATCTGCACATGTTCTGCTTATCTGTTATTTACTGATACTTATGCTCATGTTTACCTTCCTATTTTCCCTTTTTGTGCAAGAATTAGTATGTGCCACATCATCCTAACTTTGTGTGTTGGGTTTCTTTCCTGTTTTGGTTTGCTTTGTTTGGTTTGACTTGTTGAGTTTTTTTCTTTCCCTTTTATGTCTTGCATAAATTGTGTCTTTCAGTGATTTAGTTTCCATTTATTTGATTTTTTTCTTTGTATTGTGGTTTTATTTATAATTTCCTTTTGAGAACCTTATTGGAACTCACCTACACTAAGGACTTTTCTTGGCATATCTATACCAGGATAGCTGCATTCTCAGTTAGAGACTACTGTTCAATGTCTTTTAAAAAAGTTTTTAGCTTTTCAACTGTTATTTCCTTAACAAACCGTGTTTTTAAAAAGTATGGAAAAATATCCATACTCACAGATGGTAGCAAGTATCCATATGTGCTCCTGTTTGAACCATAACAGGAAGTTTTCATATTCTCTTCCCCTCTCCCGCCCCCACACACTACTTGTTGCAGTTAGGGGCTTAATTTCCTTAAGAGAGAAACCTTTTTAAGATGTATCATTTCTACTTGTTCAAACTGCATTGGGTTTTGCCAGCCATCTATGAAGATAGGGGAATAGACTTGGCATGTGTCACAATCTTAGCTGAAAAATGTAATTTTCCCAACACTTTCACTACAATTTTTTTCTCCTCTTCATTTGCAGAATAAATGCTCACATTAAAACTGAAGAAGCTAGTGATTCATCAGATTAAGGAACTAAAGAACATTTTCCCCTGGATAGTAAACGGGCTTTTTTCCTCTCTTGGTATTTGAAGTGTGGTACTAGTACTATCCTAGGGGGAAGAAAAATAAAATGAATGCCAAAAATGTTGATACAGAAATTTCTAAGAGCTGGAGTTTTACAGATACTGAGCAGTTGTTTCAATGCAGTTAGTGGTGCTCATCCCTAATGATAAACATGTTACAAATATGGATTATATATGCTTATTTTTTAATTGCATTGTATCTGTGTAAATATTTTGTAAATCACAATTTATTCCCTTATTTCCCCCACAAGCCATTGTGTTTGCAGAGACTTAGTTTTACTGAATTCTAACAAATAACTTGTGCTTCTGCAGAATGGTTAGAATGCTGCACCCCAACAACATCTCTCTGCATATAGTTTCCCCTCTTACTCTGTTTTCTGATGAGATTTGTGTAGAAGTGGCTTTGAATAGCCTGTATTTCCTCACATCAGTTTTACTGATGGTTTTGAGAGAACTTATAAACAGCTCTAGGCTTTAGCTGGTTTTATCTCAGTCATATTATTTTATGCATTTGAATAAGATATGTGTATTTTTTTCCATTGTTTGACAATATCACTTGGAAGACAAAGTTTAAATTAATTTATAAAAAAAGCAATTGTTCCTTTTTAAGTATAAAATTTTTTTTTCATCAAATTTTGCTTTGACATGTCTGCTACTAAGATCACAAATACTGCGGTCTCAAAGTCTATTACTTTTTCACCCTTAGGACCTTGAGTTCTGTTACATAAATCTGGAATATAATAGTTGATAGTGTTTCCTGGAAGTACATTAATTTTAAAGCACACATTCTTTTCCCAAGTAATACCTCTTCTGCAAATCTGTCACTTGTTGCTTCTTTTTAGATTTCAGAAGAGTGAAAAACAAGATGCTATCTAGTAAATATGTATCACATTATAGAAATTATGCTTGTTTTTGATATTCAGATGTAATTGAGGACTACAACAGTTTGAATGTACAGGAATGTACATGTAGAAGTAAATTATATTTATAGTTTCAACTGTCTTCCATGTTCTTGAGTGGCTCCGAAGCCCAACTGTACTGGTTGCATTTAGATATGTTACAAGCAGGTCCTATTAAAGATTGCCTGATTGCTGTCTGGCTTTTCCTGTGCGTTTCAACACTGTCTTAAACCATGTGGATGTTCATAGTGCTATACAGCACAACACAGAAATGAGGAGCAAAAGTAACATTATGTAGTTAGCAACTTTAAAGATGCATCATGATACATTTAAATAACTGTAGCATTGTATTTCTACTTGTGGTGCTTCTTTTCCTCTTTCCTTGTGTTCACTGCTGTTGATGCTCATATCTTGGTTAAGGTTATAAGTCTCAGACAGATGAAATGCCTTTTGGTTTGTTTCATGTGGTTGTGGGTATGTTTCTGAGAACTGAAAATGTCAGTAATCAATCCAGTAGTGATTTGGGGTATAGGGAGGGCAAGAGGATCCCTTGAAGCTGAACTGCTTGAAGAAATGCAATGCTGATTTCCACAATTTAATTTTCTATATGTTGAGCAGATGATTATTTTTAGCTCTTTAATTTTAGTATGTTTCTACAGCAAATGTTTGGGTGCTCAGATTGCAACTGCTGCTTGAGCATCGGTATGTTGGAGAAGGGTAGGAGGAGGGAATGTCAAATAACAGACATCTGTGTATTATAGCATAAGATACCTTTGTCTTGCTGCTCAGACTGCATGTTTATTGGAGTTTTATTAGGATAATATTTTAGCTTAAGACTTTTTTTTTTTTTTTTAATTTATTTAATGGAAGGAAAGGCCTGGTGGGTTGCTCTAAAATTCGAATAGGCTTTATGATTTTTATAGTCTCTTAGCAACTTCATCTGTACATGATAGAGCTTTTGCTCACCAGCTGTCCAAGTTAAAATGCAAAACATAATAGAAGATTCCTATGGCTTAGTTTAATGTAAACAACAATATCTCTATTAGATTTCACCTTGTTGACTGAGCTAGTGTCTGCAAGACCAAATATTCTCCAGGATTAAAGTACTTAATTCTCTGCTGAATATTTAGTATTGTTCCTTTTCTATAAAAAATGAAATAGATGTAACATGCGAACAAATATGAAACCATTTTATATGAAGTAACAATAAAAATGGTAACCATTTCTATTGCCATTTGCAGTGAGAGATGAAACAACGTGTCTCTTGAAGATGAATATTCTCATTCTGGTTTGAATATTGCATAACTTTTGCAGAGGAGCAAGGGTTGTTTTGTGTATATGTATGCATGTGTGTGTGTTCATGCTAATTGTGTCTTTTTCAAAGATGGGAGTGAAAATATCTCCTGTGCTCAACACAGAGGAAATCTGCATCTCTGAAACGTGATATTTGATTGCCTTTCTTCAGTGTGTATGATTTAAAATACTGTCTCAAAATTAAACAGTCTGTGGTGCAAGTCCTGCTTCAATTTTTGAATCTATTACTGGAGAATCTGTCTTTACAGTCCTGTGTGACTCTGAAATGTACTTGTCATTTATTTAAATTCATCTTATACTAGCTATTTACCCCTGCTCCTTCTTCCGTTACTCAAACTGCAATGCACTGGTTAAATGATTAATAATTTGAAAATCTTCATAATAGGGGAGTCTAGAACTGAATACAGCAGAATCCCGTTTTCTTCAGCCTTCTTGGATCATTGAGTCATTTATGTGTAATGAGGGATGAGGACATAGGCATTTACAATATTAATAGCACACAAACTTTTCAATGTATTGTGAAATTAATCCCAAGGGTATTTGTAAAGTAAAATACCGTAGTTTGAGGCGCATCCGTATGCCTGTTTTGATTTATGTCCCACTTTGCCATGCACATTAGAAATACAAAACAGAGTGTTCCTGGCCTGAAGATATTGTCATTAAGGAAAGAACACTTGCACTGCATGCATTTTGATGTTTTAATGTACATTTTAGCCATCTGCACAAAATTTGACAAAGTTTGTTGCTGTGCTATTCAGCATTTAGGGATTGTTAAATATATGTAGGAGGTAATTGTGTTACCCTTTTTGACCATTTCAGAATTCTTACAAACATCTATTTACTCTTAAATCTAGCTACTTATTTCCACTGAAAAATCTTTTGTGTTGTAGGTTGTTAGAAAGAATTAAATGAGTTTTCTTGATACTATTATGAAGACTACTGAAAAAGTACTGCTAAGTTTGTAATTTTCTTTATTCTGGATTTCCTCAAATTAGGTGTATTCCTTAGTTCAAGGAGCATCTGGATGATGCTCCTAGCTATATGTTTTAGTTTTAGGTAGTCCTGTGAGAAGCAGGGAGTTGAACTCAGTGATCCTTATGGGTCCCTTCCAACCTGAGATATTCTATGGTTTATGTTTCTAGTCAAGAACAGAACTCCTTTCTGTGTTTTCTGGAACAAGGACAAAGTCTGAAGAATAGAAATTGCATGCAACAATAGTTCTGTGTAACTCTAGGTTGTAACACTTTAGGAAAACAGTAAAATTAAATGATACTAATAACCTGATTTCATGGTTAACCTTAGTGTGTAGTTCAGTATTATGTATACTTGCTATCCAAATGTCCGTGAACCATTTCCAGAAATAAATGCGTCCTAGTGATGCAACAGAAATAGTGCTCTGAATAATTTCTCACAGTCTTTTCTCAGACACTTTCATGCCAAAGTGTTTTGTCTCTTTATTTTCAGAGTTGCAATAGTTTCCAAGTCTTTTGAAGGAAAAACTGATTGAACAGAAGATTGGTATGGAACACAGTACAATCAGGAAGCAATTTCTGATGAAGTTATTAAGGCATGTATATATTCTAACATCTGCAAGTGATAGTGGTAGATTCTTTGTATAATTTTCCATTTAGTTGAAGGAAGAACTTAAATCTGCTGCTCCACATAGCATAAAAAGTGTACAGTGAGCCTTGTTTAATATAATGAGAAGTAAGGATCTTATGTTATTCTTTAGATATCTGTCTTATTTAATAAATACCTGAAATTTTAATGGTTGTAAACCATGGAATGTTATACCATTTTTGCTATAAAAGATCATAATACACAGTGGTTACTTAAAAATGTAAGCATTAATTTTTAAAAACTTAAATGTGTCTGTTAAGTGTTAATGAACTAATCTGTTCATAAGCAAGGAATCTTTTTACAGCTGCTGTATGTAACTGTGTTTCTGAAATTGATTTTGCAACTTAGAAAATTAGTATATTTTGCCAATTAAATGAGCTTCTAAAAATCAAAACTCTAGCAAAGGAGGTGGGCAAGTCCTTATTGAAAGTTGTTATTGATCTATTCTTCTAAGAAGAGATGGCTGTAAAATATAGCCAAGAGCTAAATTGGACCTGCTAAGCATGCTCTGAACAGACATTGCATAGGATCACTCACTTTAGCTTGTCCATACCTATGGTCTTGATTAGAATTAGTGCTTATGAGTGTAGTTTAATGCCTTAATTTAGGGTTCACAGTAGCCGAAAACATGAGATATAGAACCATCTGCCACTGTGCTGTAAACTTTTCAAAATTATTTTTTAGGTTTTGTCTTCTTGCTTGGAGCACTTTATCAATCTGATAGCTTGCCCCAACTTTGTTTCTTGTTACCTATTGTGTTAATAGTATTTACACATAAGCTAGTGGAACACATTTTAAAATCTTTTCTTACAACATAAAATAAATAAGTATATATCCATTAATTAAGCAGGAATTCAAATTAGCCTCACTGTTTCTCCTATTTATCTAGAAATGGCAAAATGCTGACCTGAATGGTAAATTCAAGCTTCCAATGAAGAACGAGTTCATTCCAACTAACTTTTAGATTCTGCCATTGGAAAAAGATGCGACACAATACCCTGCCCTTGTCAAGGTAAGTTATCTGTATTTGTTCTGTTTGCTAGCTACCCTTCTGGGAAGTTAGCAGTGATTTCCCATGATATTTTAAAATACAGGTCATGTCATATTCCGATGTATAAAAACCAAAAAAGTTCAAAACTTAAACGTATTGCCAGAGAGACAGTAGAAAGTTCATTCTTGATAAACTTTGGATTATGACTTTTTGGGTTCCTACAAAAATGAATTTGCAAACAGCCTGAACTCTCTCCCTTTTTGAAAGCATGTTAAGAATTGATAGAAATAGTATTAAAGCTGCTTGTCCAGCAGAAGGGTGACTTCCAATCTTTTTTTTTTTTTTGAGCAGTATTCAGTAAGTTGAGGGTATAGACAAGTCTATTCTTTTTTAACTGTGTATGGAAAAAGCTTGTGATTGCATAGGAAAAGGGAGAGAGAGGTGTAAATACATAAATAAACATTAATCTCCAGTCTTCTGGAAGCATCATTTAATACTCTCAATAAGTTTAGCAAATACCAGTTTTTCTGAGTACCTAAAATTTATTAAAAATTATCTTACCACTACTAAAGCGTAGTTGGTTTTGCTAATGCTCATCTCTGTTTGAAGCTTAGTTGGAGGATAAATAGAAGTTTTCTGCAATTACATGTTGTGATCCAGTTTGAATATTCAATTCAAGAATACTTTTTACACACTAGATTAATGTAAGTCTACTTTAGTGTAAAGAGATACTTCAGAAAAATATATTTTTTCTGTGCAGGACATTTTAGGTATATACTGGAAGCAGTGTTATTAACAGAGGAGGACTCTGAGCATATGTTTACATTCATCCTGAACTGAAACCCTAAACCTCAGCAGGGACACATACTATGGCTCTATTAAGTAACACTAAGTGGTTTGCTACAGAAACTTGATGGTGCTTCAATGTCTCTGTAGCAACTAGGCAATTGATCCACACCAAAAGCTTTGCTTTAAAGCATCATTGCTTTATAAATGTATTTGCTTTTAGTTTTTCCTTACGCTTTAAAATACATTTTCTGAGGGAAAATGTTTTAAATTTTCTGTATGTGATGAAATAGACGTATTTTGCCTGCATCTCCTTTTTTTAATCCCCAACTGTGTGTCTGTGACATTTTCCTTTCGGTGGGCCCTGGCATTTGACTGCACAGCAAAACATTGTAAGAACTAAATCAGCAGAGATTAGCTGTACATAAAAAGCAGGTTTTCAGTTGCTTTATATGCCTAAGTGAGCTTACTATAGACTGTATCAGTGTTGTGGAGAAAGGGAGGGATGGGAACGTTAAGTGCAGGAACAGGGTGGCCATTTTCACTGGCAGCATGTCACTAGGTCAGCTCTGTTGTAATGGCACATAGTGCCCTGAAAAACATTCAGGACTGGCAGCATGTCACTAGGTCACCTCTGTTGTAATCTCACATAGTGCTCTGAAAAACACTCGGGAAAGAGGGTAGTTAGGATATGGGCTTTGGCCTGAGGAACAAATTGTTACTATGGTCTGCAGCTAGCAGTCTCCAGCTATTGGATCAGGTCTCCAGTACTACAGGCAGGTTCTACTATTATGTCATTCTGTCACTGATGTAACATGTATTCTAAACTGCATGGTCGCACTTTAACAGAATAAAAATTTTGTTGTCTTGAAGAGAAGCTGTAATTTAGCTTTTTAGTATGAGTCGAATTTTATGTAGAGGAAGGTGTGCTGTTAGAGTCAAGACTTACTTCTTTTATGCAAAAAGGAGGAAAATACCATGCCAAATCCATGAGAAGCAAAGAACATCTGCTCAAAAATACGAGAAAGAGAAATAATTTTATGTTTAAAAGTTCCCTCTTCTTATATATAGCAATTTAAAGAAAAGGGTTTTTTGGGATAAAGCTAACTAGCGTTGGAACAGAGAGAGAGTATCTATTTTGCAGCTTTTGTGGCAGAAAAAGCAATAGGGAAGGTTGTTTAGATTCTTTCCTGTAATAGGAGATTATTCTAAAAAATTTTGGTGACAGAACTTTTAACTAATTTCTAGCTAGTTTCACTAGTTTTTCTAAATGTGTATGTATTTTTTTTGTTACCAATGTTACTTTAAAACAACATACAATGCATTCATACTTTTTTACTAAAAGCTTTAAATACACAATTATATTCTTAGTCTAAAGCATGTAACTATACGTGGCTGTAGTGCTGCATAATAGCACACCCTTCAATGCCAACATTGGCAGGGAATTTTGTGAAGCTAACTATATTTGTCTTTGATCACTCCTGCTCTAGAAAAGTAGTTCCCATTTTGATCATAAGCTCATTCACAATGTTGCAGCCATTTAACTGCTTGTTAAGGTGACATATGGTAAGAATAGTCTCAATAAGCATACACAAATATATATACATAAATGTAAATAGCAAGAATATGAATTTAAGGGGACAACACTAAACTGAGATTTGAAGTGGTGAAGAGCCTTTTTTTAAAAATGTAATATATTACAGTTAAAAGTTAGACAGCTTATCAAAACCTCTTTTCTTGACACAGGACACTGCTATGAGCAAACTATGGTTCAAGCAAGATGACAAATTTTTTTTGCCGAAAGCTTGTCTCAACTTTGAATTTTTCAGGTATGCAATGTTAAGTATACAACATAAATTGCTTTCCAAAAGTTTCTTGTTGGGAATGTGCATTTCTGTGGCAAAAACTTTCCTGCATGAGGCTTTAAAACACTTATCCTTACTTGAGAATATACAATAAGATACACATAGAAGGAAGGCTCATGTAAGTTACGCAGCAGTTGAGTAGCAAACAGTTTGAGGTGCTCCATCTATATTAACAGGAAAAGTTTATCTATAAATACTTTGAAAATAATTTTTCTTTCATATTTTATTTACTATACCTGAAATATGCCTGCCAGTGTAGCCTACTACATACTGCAATACACCTCCTTAAAAATGATTTTTTATATAATTTTTAATAAATGACTAACGATTATTTTTAAAAAGTGTTTTCTTTATAAAATGCTATTCTGGTAATGGGTTTAGGTTCAAATTCTGTTTTAATTTGCATAATGAAAGCCAGTATAAAATTCTAAGTGCTTAAAATTATGGGATTTTATTTAACTGACACCAACAAATGATACTTTTTTTTTTTTTTTTTAGAAGAACACCATCTGTATTATCAATGAATGTGTGATTCTCACCTCAAGATACATGATAAAATGCTGTAATGTTAATTTTGGTCTTGCATTATTTTTGTTACTCTTTTTTTTGAGTGAGCATGACAATTATGTATCTTCTTAGTGTTCATTTCAAGTAATAATTTATTGAATTAAAAAAAAAAAATACTGCTGTCCTTAGAGTGTAGCTATTTCTGTGCTGGACTACTGAAAGTGACAATAGTTTCTGGATCTCTCCTCCTTTGGTCTAATGAAATGATTTTGTGATATCGCTGGAAAGGCTGTTATGTGGACTCTGATAGATGCTCATAGATGTACTGTTGAGTCCTTGTTTTGAGTGACCACTTTAAATTGTTCTTGACAGAATTTTAGATAGAGGAGTTTTTTCAGAGAGTGTAAAATCTTAGTACTGGTGTTGGTACTAGCTGGGGAAAATATGTTGTCTGGGTATTTCCTCTTTCTTTTTGCTTTTTGAAACTACAGGGCAAACATTACAACTTTCTCAAATTCAGTGTATCAGGAAGTGGAAGATCAGAAGAGTAACTGCCCATCTCAGTTGCAGTGCATTGCCTTCTTTATTCATACCTGGGGGCTTTCCTTGCACAATGTTTGGCCAAAATCCGAAATAGGATTTTATTGACAGACACCAAGTTTGCTACACAGTTGCGTTGTTTTTTTAAAAAACAAGTTCAAAGGATCTAAATCTCTATACTAGTTTGTGAATGAATAAAAAATAGTAATTGATTTTATGCAGAGCCCACAAAGGTAAAATTATGTGCATATACATACGATATCATAGGATCATAGGATGGTTTGGACTGGAAGGGACCTTTAAAGGTCATCTAGTCCAACCCTCCTGCAGTGAGCAAGGATATGTATCTTCAGCTAGATATGTGGTGATAGTCTTTCCCAGTTAGATTTGTATTTTCATCTCGTTGAGCCCTTTTAAAAAGCCAGGAGTACTTGAGCTTTGCTGACTAATATAATGGAATGATTTGCCTCTTTCCTCCTAGGAATAGTTACAGTTAGAAAACTGGCTTTTTTCTTAGGGTTGGGGGCAAGTGTTCTTTCCTTTTCTTTAAAAATAAGATGGCAATTGTATGTGAATGGATGTGAGGACATTTTGACAATACTGGGTACATCATCTCCAAAAGAAGTTGTAAGAAGGTTTGTCTGGTTTTGATACTTTAGAAAAGTCATTAATGAATCTCTCTTTTGAGACTAGTCATGCTGATGGTCATTGGAGGAAATGATGAAATGCATAGCGTTTATTCATGAGACTTGATGAAATTACCGATAGCTCTTGTGGCCAAGTAAATTGGTGAATAAAGGCATCTTAATATCATGGGTTTTCATAAAAAGTTTTAGCCTCAATTCTGGATCAGAATATGATAGCTATGCTACCTTGTATCAGATCGCAGAATTTGTTCGCAGTGCAGACATCTTCAGTAAGATAGAAAAAACTGGGAGGATTTCTTCTGCCTGCAGCTCTGATCGTCAAAAATCACTGGAAGAATTCCTGACCCAGATGTTGTAGGAGCAACTGCTGTGTAGATGAGTTAAGAGGAAGTTGATAAGGGTGGTTTCTCCCTCAAACATACAAATCCAGTAGGAACAACCTGAGTATATGAACCTCTTGAAGTCACTTTGTTCCAAAACTGAAAATCCTTACGTGGCACAAGTCTTGCATTAAAGAAAAACCACAGTAAAAACCTCTGACACAGGTCTTATCATCCAGCCTAAAGGATGATGATAACCTTTTGCTTTTGTATGAATTATGACTTAAAAAAGGATACTTGTTGAGGTCTTAAAAGGAAGCAAAGTAACAATGTAATGTGCCATTGTTCTGAAAACTTTCTAGCATAGTTATAAACTCTGCACTTCAAGTTTCTCAAGGTTTGGAGAGATGGATGTTAAAAATACAATGCTAACTATTTTTAACTGGATACCTGCTACCTTCCAGTTCAAGAAATATTTTAAGCAACTTGAGTTGCTCATAAGGTAACCCAGGATCAACACATCATTGTTGATTCCAGCTATGTCACAGCTCTGTTTGAAAGGGGAAAAGATTAGACTTTAAGATTTTTCAAGTATACTATCAGTGACTGGTTTGTTCTGCTTCCTCAAGTCTAGTCAGAGATAAACTAGAAATAAGCATTTATTTACAAAGTTGTCAGTAATAGAAAGCAACTCCCAGGACAGTGTTGTTATAATTGTTTTCTATAATTTTTCACTTGAGGGTTACTGATTTAGTAGCCTTCATTATTTTCAAAACTCCATGTTGGCCTTTGCCAACTAAATGAGTGTACAGCAGTTATAACTGATATGGACATAGTAATCATTCAAACTGATTAAGTCTCTATTCTAGTATCAAAACGGAAAAGAATGAGTGTGGAGGAAGGTTTATGATAACATAGGATTGACCTACATCTTGCTTTGAATTCAGTCTTAATTTAAAAAATCACTATTAATTGGATTTGCATCATTGGGCATATTAAAATTGCTCAGGTTTGGGAAATTCTCATTGTAGGGAGAAATGCAAATAGCAGGGTCTTTTTTTTTTTAAAACTTACCTGATTGCTTGAGCTACACAAGCCCAGAACAAATAAACCAGTGGTAGTAAAAAAGCATATCCTAGGCTAAGATGTCAGACTATAGCATGCTCTGCTTCTCTAATAAATTAATTTTTAAATAATTGGTTTGGTTTGCTTTTTTTTTTCATTTAAATCTCTTCCCATGCTTCCTTTTCTTAATCTAAAAGGAAGGTGGAGTTAAAGCCTTACTAAAAACTACTAGGAACTTTCTTAAAAATACCTTTGCAATGTATTTTATCAGCATGTGTGTTGTGGCAATATTATCTTTGTTATGCTACATTAATGCTGGTATACTCTATGAAATACTATGTTGTATATGTGTAAACACGTGTAGTGGCATGTCTCTGAATATGGCCATTAGTGACTGCTTGTGGAAAATACATGCAAGTGCTGTGGTTTTGAATTGTAAGCCATATCCTGACAGCAAATTGTTTTACATACTGATGATTATTTCTGTGAAATTGATAGTGAATTTAAATGCACTTCAGAAGCTTTACAAATAAATATTCAGTCATAGTACAGATAACTTCTCTGGACTTTGTAGACCTTTAAAACACACAGGTATTTAGCAATTGGCACAGTTGAAACATGGCTTGAGTTTTTGAGTTGCATTTCTCTTTTTGAAAAAAATTGCAACAGTATTGTATGCGATGAGATGCTTCTAATACAGCAGTAGAGCTTGTATAGTTGTTGCCATTAAAAATATAACACAAAAAAATTACAGTGGTATGAAAATGGATATGCCAAACTTCTTTCCTGGGTTGAAGTTAGTATGTACTGCATATTTTTCATACCACAGATTGCTAATCTCTTCATTTTTGTGATAGAAACTACTTTGTTTTCTGATACTGTAGAAGTGTTAATAAAGTAATGATCAGTACATGGGCTTTCATTTCAGTCTATCAATTTATGTTGGTTATTCAGGGTGTATTTAGTTTATTTTACTCCTGGTGAAATTTGACTCTGCAGCAAAGTAAATATGTGTCTTGATTTATGAGCATAAGTAAGAGAATATCTCTGGAAACTTTACTGTGTTTAGGCATCGCTCAAACCATAAGCAAGCTAAATAATTCTTTTCAGATATGTTCATATTTGGCTTCGTAATGGGATCCATCAGCATACTCACAGTAAATATTGTTTCCTTCAGATCAAACTTAAAAGGCCAAAAGAAACTGAGAAATAATTTTAAACTGCATATTTTACTTTCAACATTTTCTTCCAGCCCATTTGCTTACGTGGATCCCTTGCATTGTAACATGGCCTATTTGTACCTTGAACTACTCAAAGACTCCCTCAACGAGTATGCATATGCAGCAGAACTAGCTGGCTTTAACTATGATCTCCAAAATACCATCTATGGGATGTATGTAAGTACCCAAATCAAGGAAAAGCTTAGAGCCTTAAAACTACTTCCACTCATCAACATTTTTATATTGATTTGATGGAAGGACTGTTATTTAAAAAATGGGTCTAAGGCTGTTAGTCCTTTTGATCTTGGTTATTAATTTTCTTTAATTTTGAATTTTAAGTTGAATTTTGTTCAAAGTCTTCAACAATCTTTCCATTCATATTAAGCAGCTTTTCTTCTTTATATTGTTCAAGAAATTAATTAGTTGTGAGATTTGTTCCTCCATTTCAAAAAAGAAAAAAGCAACCCTAATCCAAGCTTACATATTTATTTCAGTTTGTCAGACATCTACTAAAAGCTTTCTGACTGATGGGGTAAAAGACCCACTTTTCATGCTATTAAATAAATGGTACACTTCAGCTTTCCTGTTCAAGAACTACTGACCATGAGGCTGCATATACATACTCTTCAGTCATGTTTCTTCATCCATTCCTTTGTCACTGCTTGAGGTATCAAAGCATTTCTTTTGTTTTTCTTCTTGTTAGTCGCTACATTTATGCTGATCCTCTCCATTGCAACATGACATACCTGTTTATCAGGTTATTGAAGGATGATTTAAAAGAGTATACATATGCAGCACGCCTCTCAGGTTTGATCTATGGCATTGCATCAGGAATGAATGCAATACTTGTAAGTAAGAAAAAAAAAACGCAGGAGGAAATGAAACAGCTTGGGAGTTGTTGAGCTTGGAGAAAACATTTGACTTCTGCATTTCTAAATGAGACGGTTAATATTTTTTTCCTTGAATATTTCTCATGAATTAAAGGCAAAGCAAATCTGTATTTTAATCAGTACTGACTGACCTCTTTAAGATTGCAGTGCAATTGTTGCATTCTAGTTCCAGTTTTTACTTGTTTGCATGGTAATCTTGAAAGTACTATTGCTGGTTTCTATATAAAAATACTAACTTTTCTGTTGAATGAATCTCAACTTTACAGATTCTGTTTTTAATTCTCTAATTCTGCTGTAGTGAGTGGTGGAAATGGATTGTGCATGTGTTCATTAGAATGTAATGGTGCATATTTATGGCTTTTCTTTAGTGTTTGTTTTTATTATGTGTTTTATAATCCACATGAAGGTGCTGACAATACTTACTTGATAAATACTGATACTATGATAAATGGTTATTTCTTACTCAGCTTCTGCTATGAGATTTCTGATAGGAGATTTTAATAGTCTCTCTTGAAGTTCTGTTAAAAGCTTTTATTGACCACCATTTTATACCAAAATGTGTTTTGAAATTTTCTGTAGAAGTACTATTTTTTGTAAAGCATCTTAGTAAGATAATATACTGTATATTGTCTTTACGTTTTCTGTATGACAATGGCTGCTGCAATTTCTTTTTTTATCCAATGCAAATCTCATTTACTGGTAGCGTTCACCTAACTTGCTGCAAATATGGGTATCTATTCTCAGTTTCAAAGCTTACTGATGTTTCTATGATCAGAGTTAATTCTTAAAAAAAAAAAAAAAAAAAAAAGTGTGTGGGTGTATAATTTTCTTCACTTTTAGTCACAGTTTAGAAGTTAAGAGTTATTTTAAATATTAGGCGGTTTTGTATTAAAATCAGTTTACTCCAATTTGATATCTGGGAACTTCTAATATTCTTTTCTATATCATGAGAAGTTTTATTGTCAGTAGGTGTAACTGTACAATGTTGATACTTTAAGCAAGGACAGGTGCTACACTGAAAACAAGTCACCCATGGTGATTGTTGAACAGTTTGGGTTCTTATGCTAATTCAGGATATCAGACTTTGTCATAAATCCATTTATGATAGCTTTTTCTTCAAATTCATGGTTCAGGTATGTTTCAGCAACCATAGAAGGAAAAATTCTTCCTATTGTAAAGCAGGAATTCACTTGTATGTTGGCTTGTGCCCTAAAATTTAGTCTTACCCTTAATAATTAAACTGCACAAATCCACTTAAATTCCTGTTTTGAGATATTAAATTTTGAAATTTTTGTTCCCCCAAAAGGCCTTCTAATGCCTTTTTTGACTAGACAAACTTTCTGTAGCTTGATGCAGTCATATAGTAGTTTTTAAGTTTCTGTGTGTTTTTTTTAAATGACCAAGTTTATTTCATGTATACTTTCAAAAAAAATATGTATGATCAGATTAGTATTTCATTACAGTTGTAGACTAACTACCTCGGTGTTTCAGCCCAGCACCATCATGGTTATAAATTGTGCTGCTGTTGACAGTACCCCTTTTTCTTGTAGTACTGCTTACTTCCACTAACGTAAATTTTTTTTTTTTTTTTGAGCAACAGGATAAACATGAATCAAGGTTAAAAGTAAATTGGAGAGAATATTTAAGAAGTCTGTGACTCTAGATTTCAATACTACAATTAAAAATCTAGAGTTAAACACATTTCAGTACTCCAAATGTAGAGTTTTCTGACTGGACTCAATAATTGTGATCATTAAAAATCTGTATTCTGAGTACAGTTCACTTACATCAACATGAAATTACATTAATTCTCAGAATTCATCACTCTGGGCAAATATGCAATGTTATATTCATGAGTTATCTTTGGATGGGTAGAGGGATTTTATTTCAGAATGAGTAAATGTTGAATAACACTGAATTTAGGGTAAGTGTTAAAAAGTGTATTTTTCATTGAATTATACAAGACTTGGTAATTGTTTTATTTATTTTCCACATTTAAAGCAAATTATGTGCTTTTTCCATAGCTTTCTGTAAAAGGTTATAATGACAAGCAACCTATCTTGCTTAAGATCATTGAGAAAATGGCTACTTTTGAGATTGATGAAAAACGATTTGAAATTATCAAGGAAGCGGTAAGCTACATAATAAATTTACATTTTTGGATTAATTTAAAATTGAATGCATTCACTTGAAATGAAATCTGAGGGCTGATTATCCATGGAAGTACAGAGTGAAATTCCACCTCATTGGGATTGCAGAAACTTTTTTTATCTTTTTTTGTGGCCATGAGTTCCCTGGAGTGTTTACATTACATTATTTGGCTAAAAATAACTGGCCATGGAATCTTCTTTCAGTCATTTTATGATTGATCAAGGCAGTACAACTTGCTCTGATAGGAGTAGAAATCTAAGACGGGGGACAGGGAGATGCAGAATCTTATAGTCTATTTAACAATTAGGAAAGGTCCCAGTGGGAACTAGCCATCAAAGAAGGGGAAAAATGGATGAAGTAGGAAAGGAAATGTTGGAAAGATCTGCAACATTTCTTTTCCCCAGATACGAAGAGGAGTTTTGCTCCTGGGCCAAGATCCTTTGGTGCAAAAGTAGTAACCAGCTGGTTAAGTACATGCTGACTTCTGGAAGTCTCACTTCCTAAGTTTAATGACTTATTTCTATATACGGAATGTAAGTTAGATTATTTTCCTTAGTTCATGAAGTAAATTTATGAATGTTTTATTACATTCGCTAAGCCAAACAAGATACATAAATTTTCTTCTGGTGCTTTTGTCAGAGCAAGACAGAGGTAAAGCAAAGTAAATTAACAAATTAGATATTGGCTCTTTGTAGCAGTGAGTTGTTGTGGAGGTATGAGTGCACAAGGATTAGACTAGTGTCGGGAAACAGGCTGACTTCTGGCCCAGAAAGCTTGCAAATAGTCTGCAGTAGATGAGAGAGCTAGGGCTGCAGAGAAGATCGCTCCATGCGTGCTGTTAATCCTCTGGTGCGGTGATTTTTGAACAGGTGACTGGCCTAGACGGACACCAGGGCCATCTTTTAATTCATTACTATTTAGTAGGAAATTCTAAGCAGGTGGAGATCAAAAATAAGGTAGATTTATTATAATTATTTAGGATTCTGTGTACCTAACATCCATGAATTGTTTGGAATTTTGTCACACTGGATGTAACAAATGGCAAGCTGGAAGAAACCCAACCGACAGGTCTGTGAATGATCTGTTTTGGATGATTTACTTTTAGTTTAAAGTGCTTCCCTGCTTGTCTCTGTATTAGGCAAGTTTTGTCATTTTACAGACTTTTGTTACGTAGGCCTTTTGTGTATGTAAAATAACAACAAAATACAAAAAAGTCAAATCAGATGGGGAGATTGCAGTTTTTCCCCTCATGGCTGCACCTAACAGATAAGGGGGATACCAGCTTCTGGCTTCTGTGGAACAGATAGAAGGATACATCCTCAGCAACTTCATGCTTCCTTGCTGTTCCTCACTCATGTGCCGTGAAATGAGTTACTTTTCTCCTGTACTGGAAATGATCCCAGGTTGCCAAAACTATTAGTTTACACTTTCCAGTTCTTCTGGTAGAGGAAAAAGATACTGCTTATTTTGTAAAGGTGCAGCTGGACTAGAAAATAATTTCTTTGGAGGAGCTCACTGATTCTTCTCTCCTGCCTCCTTTATCGAGGCAAAGAATGCAAAGAATTTCCCAGATGCCTCTGTACTTTTTCTAACCAAGTCAGCACAGGGAAGCAACTTAATCTACTTTACAATAGTTGTAATTAGAAGCAAATTAATCTACTTTTTTTGTACACTGTAACCTGATGTTTTCTTCAAATTCTCAGGTAAGCCCCATGAAAAGAGCAGCTATTCAAATTACTGGCTACTGTCAATTACTGAAAATTTACTGTTACTATACAACATAGGAGCTGCATTTGTAACTGTGTTTGCATGTTTCAATGTTACATATCTACATTGTAAAAGAAATGCTATCAATTTACAATACATAAGCTATGGCTGACAACATCATATCCAAGCCAACACACCACAGCTGCAGGTTAAGAACAGTGGGATTCAAAACAAATGAAACATAAAACCCCACAAACCCAGCAATAAGACTAGCTTTCCTATACTGAAAAGGAGCCGAAATAAAGCTATAGTCTATTATGAAACAATGGAGGGAACCATCCTTTTTTAACAGCACAAAGCTTATGGCAGAGCTGCTAATGTTTCAGCTAAATCAAATCTGATAATAAAAGATGAGTCATGTAAGCGTGTTTTAGTCTGAGGGACATGCTTATACATTTGTTTTCCATGTATCAATGATTTGAAGTATCCCAGTTAAAAACGAGCTATCTACTTTGTAGAAACGTGAATCAGACTAAAAAGCAGGTATAAAACCAGAACACTTATTTACAGATAACTGAAAAACCCTGTACCTGATAATGCCAATAAAACATTTTTCCATATCCCCTTCTGCTCTAAGTCTACTAAGAAACAGAAAAGGATCTCCTACTTGACAACATGAAAGTTTATTTAACATACAGCACAATAATCCATGTTCTTTTAAAAAAAGTTTTTCAATACTTTGCAAGATACAGAATATAAAAATAGGACAAAGGCAGGACAACTGGCAAGCCAATCTTCTGATCCAACTTTGCATCATTATATCACTATATACAGAGACCGAAAATAACCGAAGAAAGTTATGGCTCAGTAGACAATTAGACGTAAGTATTTCAAAACAGGGACCTGCAGTGGATATATCTTAGTTCAGTGATCTCAAAGGAGGCTTAGATTTGGGAAGAAACCGTTCTGTCATATCCCCTATTTTGTTCTTCTCCACTGTAGCTGCAGATTTGTTCTCTTTATCCTTTTTGTGACTCCTTTTGTGCTGCGATTTAAAGAAAATGCCCAATGTTAACAGAATACAAATAAATTAAGAGACTACTTGCTCATGTAGAATGCAGTATATAGTCTTCTGAGAAAATAAGTTGGTAGAACTCCTGAAAAAGGTTCCTAATGCATTTACTAAAGAGATTTATTGTAGACATCTTGAAGTTCAGCAGCTACTTTTAAGGGATCCATGACAAGTAAATACACCCCCCTGCAACCAAGATTAATACACTAGGGGTTTACACTGATACATTGGTAGAGCAAAACAGTCAAGAGAGAGGAAGAAAGTAAAAAAAAAAAAAAAAAAATCATTATAGAATCAAGAATGCTAATATTTCTGCTTGGCCTCTAGGAAAATACACCACATCTAATTTCAACTTTTCCCTTAAAACACGTGTTTAGTAAATTATGACTTTTTTTTTTTTTTCACGCAGGGTTATTTGCTAAGGAGCTTTCTACTGTCTGTCTAGCTTGTCAAAAGTTGGCTTTATTTTATCTGCTGTTAACTGTTATTTGAATCTGCTGTTATTTTAGCTCAAGTTTAACAAAGCATGTTCTACAGGATTTAAAAAAGTTGAGACTACACTAAATGACAGTAAGTGACTTTAGACTACAGCACTACTATGGAACAATCCTTCTCCCTCACTCTTAAATACACAGGTGTTCGGAATATCTGTGGAAGTTACCTGGAAAAAGGGAATGCCACTGTTTGCCTGGCAGCATATGCTTGTATTCACTAAGGATTTGTTGCTTGTATTCACTAAGGATTTGTTGCTTGTATTCACTAAAGATTTGTTGCTTGTATTCACTAAGGATTTGTTGCTTGTATTCACTAAGGATTTGTTGCTTGTATTCACTAAGGATTTGTTGCTTGTATTCACTAAGGATTTGTTGCCTGTATCCACTAAGGATTTGTTGCCTGTATCCAATAAGGATTTGTTGCTTGTATCCAATAAGGATTTGTTGCTTGTATCCAATAAGGATTTGTTGCTTGTATCCAATAAGGATTTGTTGCTTGTATCCAATAAGGATTTGTTGCTTGTATCCAATAAGGATTTGTTGCTAGCAAGGATTTCAATGGATTCTTGCAACCCTGCTCCCTCTTCCAGCAGGTCCTAAAACAGAAGTTTTCAGAAAAATGTATTTAATGTCTTAATTTCCTAGGTAAATGTACTGAGCATGATCAGATCTAAGTCACAACACATTCATTTTTAAAACACAGAAATTAAAGTCTCTAAATTACTAATGCCTTCTTTTTCAAAATACTGTTTTTGTCAAAAGCTCAGTAAACATGACTCCAAGTACCCTGTAAAACACAAAGGCCGCAATAACTCTGGAGTTCTAGTCAACTCTCCACATGGCATGAAAAAAACTCCTAAAGATGTGAAATATTCATCGAAGAGCCTCATTTGCCATTCATACACATACCTGATCTGCATTGTCCTCCACCTCCTTTATCATACTGTTTTGCACAGCATCGGGCTTTGGTTGTGTTTGCCTTAACTGCTCCAGCAGAAGTTTCCGGGGTTCTGTTCTCACAAGTGTGACTGGATAGAAGTAGTCTCTTCTCTGTGGAGTTGTACCTTTAACAAAGATCTTACACTAATGAAAGGTACTATTAAATACTGAGTATTTTCTTTATTACAGATCCTCAATTTTACATTAGCTCAATACAGAAATCATGCTTTGTTCAGTCATTGTTCTCTGCATGCACCTTAAAAAAGGTGTAAGGCTTCTAGTTATATTACATCCCCATTAGCCTTCACTTACAAATTCTGCCACTCAAATTGCTTTCTGTAAGACCATTCTATCCCTGACCTACTTGAAATACCTGTTGGAATATCCACTTTAAGATCCTCTTGCAGGAAGCCATTAACCTGAGTCAGTCCATGCTGTGCTTCCTCATTAAGTGCCAGCTTCTGCTCCAGAAGTCTCTCCTGATCACGCTTTATCTGATCAAGAAGGCTATTTAGTACCTTCTCCTCAGCAGCCTTTTGTCTATCAATATGGTTAGCAGTTTCAGCTATTGCTTTATCACAGCTTTCTTCATTTTTCTGAAAACAAAACACCAACAAAACCCACCAAGTTAACAGGAAAGATAAGGTTGTGGCCTCTTTTCTAAGCTGTGTTACATGATTAGTGACATGACCTGAAACAAAACAACTGAGACACCTCAAATTGAGAAGTTTCAGAGCCAGTTTTACACTCTCATTTTGAGAACTATCTTCAGAAGAGAATCAGTTTCTTAGAAAGTATGATCATTTTAGAAAGCTATTCATAAAGATGATGCCATCTGGTTCAGATCCCACTCCTCATGTTTCTGTGCACAACCCTACATAGAATTAGGATATTAAAATGAAAATCCTACAAGCACTAGAATCTTTATGCATTTGTAGGGGAAAAGAAGGAAAACGTGTATTTTTAGCCATTCCCATTGGAATGGAGCTCCTGAAGTGTTCAGTAGGTGTAACAGATACAGGTGTGTCTTGATACTATAAATGCTTTTAACAGTTAATTTTTTTTTCTGAAACTTAACAAAATGTTGTATTTGCCCATTTCATTACCTATTAGAACAATAAGACAAGTAGGGTGGGAAGTGAAGTTTGTGATGGGAATTTAAAAAATTAGAAACTGTCAGGTAGGAGGCCAGAACTAACAGATACCTTAAAGGAACAACTTCTCCTGTAATGTTAATCCATCTGACCAATAAAGTTATTTGCATCCTCCAGAATACAGTCTGTATTTGATCACTGTGCAAACCTCCCAGGGACATCACTGGTAGATAAAGCTTTAGAATTACAGATATATACTACCAAAAAGATGTAGAAAGCCCAAACTACAAACGGAATTCAGCTGCATGGGATTAATCAAGACACCATTTTTTTGAAGTTATTAGCACTTCAAGTTCAAAGTCTTCCTCTTAAATTAAACTTTTGATTTCCCCTAATTGCATCTATTTGAGTAACACAAGTCTGCTGTGATTGAAAACACAGTTTTGTTCTGACTATAAGTGAGAACTTCTTTCCCTTACAAATTCTACTGTAGAAGTTTGTCTCAGAATATTGTATTAGATTATATATACCTTTTGTAAATACTGAAGTTGCTGTTTCTCATCATTGAGGAACAATAGATGCTGACTGCTAAGGTGAACTATCTGAGCAGTTTCATGTTCACCCCATTTATCAGTATCCTGAGACACATTTTTGAGATTGCTGAGAAGTTGTTGACAGTGATCAGTAGATTCTTCCAGCATCATCTTGTTTTCAGCATTTATTATCCCGAGCTCTTGAGAGAAATTATCCAGAGAAGCAATAAATTTACTGTGATTGGAAGTTGTACTGCTGACTAGGTCTGTTGTCTTCCTGCAATAACATATTTGTAACAGATCAGAGATTATGACACGTTCTAAATTTTGAAATATTTGAGACGAGAACCAGTGCAGTAGTGCAGTTTTATCAAACCAGTTAATTATAATGTTTTTGCTCTATTTAGTAAACTCACAAATTGCAGCACTCAGAGCAGCAGGTTTGTTAAATCCCCTTAAAAAAACCCAACACACACCACAAAAAAAAACCCCAAACACTAATTAAAAACCAACAACTTCAGCAAGACCTTAGCATGCTGCAATAGATACACTATTATACTTCAAGCTAAGCCTTTATGGTAGGAAGTTCTGAAGTCCAGCCATACTGAGGGCTGTTCATCAGCATACTGCTCCCAAAACCATGTTCTCTTGTCTTCAACATGCTCAAGAGACAGGTTTGAGGAAAAGCCTTGCAATGATCTACATTCTGTAGCAGAACTCAACTCTACCATACAGGTCTTGTCCAGAAGACTTTATAAGCACATAAGTATGAAGAGCATCTAATTTTACAGTCGTCTTCATACATACTTTTATCTTGCATCAGTATACACCAAAAGTAATCTGCTCCTTACAGGTGAATGTTTTCTTGCACAGCAGTGATGGCGGTCTTCAAGCTTCCATTTTTTGTGAGTACATTTGTTAAGTTCTTCTGAGTCTCCCGAGCAAACAAGTCAAGCTGGCTTTGCAGTGATGACATTAATTCAGCTGTGCTCTATTAAAAACAGTCATACATTTCACTGTTAATCTGCACTTTTTAACATTCTTAAAGGGTACTTGAATTATTTTATTATCAATGAAGTAAATAAGAGCTTCATCACTCTGAAGCTGAAGGTACAATTTTTGTGTAGAGAAGATATAGACACTTTGCTTTTGGAGATATATGTCAACGCATATATACTGGACGTGCTCAGATCAAGGATAAATTTTTTTCGTTACCTTCCTACATAAGCTTCTTAAAGTCGCCCAACAAAGGCTGAAAAGAATTATGATCATCAAGTTACCATCCTAACATTTCTTCTGAAGCAAGTACAAGGTTTTACTCCTACAAAGAGTTTAAATCGAAGCAAGCAATCACACTCGGTGTTAGAATTTCTTCTTACTCTAAGGATACCTTTGTATGTGCCAACCTCGTCATTTCCACTTCTTCTTTTAAATTCTCACAGTCATTCTGAAGCTGAGCAAAAACACTGGTTGTTTCTTCCTGTAATTTTTTCAGATTGAGCGAAAGATCTCCGAAGAAGGTATCCATTTCCTTTTTATGACCCTCCATCTTTAAAAAAAGTTTTATTTAGTTAGATATTTGTCTTTAGGTAAGAACTGCATACTTTTCCCTAGCATAATTTATATAGAAATAAACTCTACACCCAAGGAAACTGTCAAAGGCACTAATAAAGTATTGTGCATAAAAGGTGGAAAACAACATTTAGAGCAACCTGAAGTTACAGACTGCAACTTGGTGTGGGCTTTTCCAAACACAAAATTTGGCATCTGAAGCAGACAAAATAGGAAGACACAGATGAGGTACTTGGTTAAGGCAAAGGCAAGCCAGAAGAGCTGGTCAGCCATGGACTATTTGCTGTCTAAGACTGAAAACCAATGAAAAGCCTTTTGACAAGGGGAGTTGATTACACACAAGTTGTAACTGACAGAAGGGGAAAATTTTTCAGTCAGTGCAACAGGTCACCAGGAACAAAGATTTGGTTCTGACAAAATGGAAAAAACAGTAATGAAAGAGTAAGGCTGCAGTTCTACATAAACATCACAGCATAGACTAGAACTAAAAATTGAAGCAAAGGATTTTTTTTCTAATTGCAGTGTTACCTGCACTTATGGTTATTGTTAATAAGATAAAGCATCACATTCCCCAGGAATCAAAGTGACTATGGAAAAATTTTGGTATGACTGCAGGAGAAATTAGGAGTGATAATACTTTTCCAAGTTAGTTATTTTATATTTCTAAGATACAGGAGAGACTATATTAAGGATATTATCAAATATTTGTTACATATAGCTTTAGGTATCCATGTTTTACAATTCTTCTGTGGCATTCAGATGAGCAGTTCTGCCAATGCAAGTAACAAGCAATTACACCACACTCAGAAATGGAAAAGAAGTCTGAAAGAGCTAAAAGGTAGAACTGATGGGATAGAATAAAGAAGAAAAGGCCAGACCAGAAGTGGAAACACTGACACACTACAGAAAAACCACCAAAGGGTTATCTGTAACTTAAATATAAGAGCACAAAGAGACAAGTTATGTGCATTACCTTGTGAGCCACAGCAGAATATTTCTTCATGTTACTCTGAAACTGACAGTTTAGCCCCAAGACAAATTCTATCACTGGTGTCAAGCTATTTAATGATCTTCCTAATCCAGATGTATGTTCCTCCTAGGAACAGTGGCAAAGAAAAAAGTAAACCAGGATATGACTGTTCCTTCATCTACATTTGGAAGAAGCTATCCATATGCAAATCCATGTACTCTGTTATTACAGTATTTGCTATATAGTACATTACAGCTTGCAGTGGTGACATGAGAGGGGAAGCAGGGAGGACAGGTAGAGAGCATCATAAAAAAACTATACAATATTTACAGAACTCCATTTGACTGAGAGAAGTTTCATATATGCAAGTAACATAAGAGTATGTAAATTTACTAACAATTAATCTCAGCAGCTCAGCTTTACAATCAAGTGATAGATTCTCATGTTGTGTTATTTTTTCAGACATGTGAGAAACTTCAGCAGACACCAATTCTTTAACAGAGGCAAAAGAGGCTGATACAACTGATGCAAGAATATTAGCTGCTGAAGAACTGGCAGACAGGGCGTCACCTACAAAAGAAACCAAGAAGTGTTACAAATTTATTTAAAAAAAGTTCCACTGTAAGATAGAATTCTTTTTATTGCTCATCACCTTATTGCCTCTTACAGCACAGGAAGGCTGTTGATCATCCCAGATACATTATTGCTGGTGCAACTACAATAATTACATTACCTAAAATAAAGCCTCTTCCACTTACTAAAACAGATCCATTTTAGGAAACGGTCTTTGGTACTACTGTTGCAAAAATTCAAGATGACGTACTGATACAGGTATTACACTTACCTATAAAATTTGTGTAAGATGTCAACATCTGTTGCTGCTTCAAACTGTTTTCACTAACTGAATCTTGAATTTTGTTGAACAAAGCATTCATTTGTCCTGCAAACGTATTTTGGATGATAGCATTGTGTTGATCTACAGCCTTCTTACGGTCCAGTTTTGCGTGGAGACCAGATACATCTTTTGTAGTTTCTTCAACTGTACTAAGTAACTACAATTTTTGAAAGTTATTTTAGTCAGTCTTTAAACAAGAAGTCAAGCATATATTATATAAGGAGAAGCAATGAAATTAAAAGGAGAAGTTATCTCCCTAGAAAGACAGGTCAAATTACATTGTCAAATTACAATTGTTCTTAATCCTGGTGTTATGTCATTTATAGTCTTAGAACACAGGAAAAAGTTACCTAGTAGAGACCATTTGTTCTTACTTTGAAATTAAGGCATTAATAAAGGACTCTACTCAGTATTTAAGGAATTAAGATATTTATCACAGAATAGTAACTGAAAAAAATTCCCGATCACTTCAACTTTTTTTGAAGGATATGACAGTAAATACGTTCACCTCAAGCAAGAGGTTTCCAGTACTAGTTCTCTGATAAACAATTTAGAATTCGAGCATACTCTTAGTTCTGTAGTCAGCATAAATAATTTCTATACCCATTTCTCTCACACAAACATGCCACAACCCACATACAAAAAACTAGGCATCCCCTCCCAACCTTACAGGAATCTGAGTAGAAAAGAATTTTCACATTGACTAAAGATAAAAGTTTCATCACTCTGCAGTTTAAATAACTGGACATCCTCTCCCCCCTCACATCAAGTCTGTTTCGATAATTATGACCAATTTACAAGCACATTAAAACCATACCCTAAAATATAGAGGTAACAGAGCACCAGCTGCCATTATTCACTCAGTGAGTGCAAATTACTGCACACGTGTCTGCAAAGCTTTTTGCTATTTTTCTACCCCAGTTATATATAACTTCGTCTTTTGCAGGGCCAGCCGTAAGCTTCTAGTAAAGAAAACTACTTATTCTGCAAAAAAACTATGACAATAGATACTCCAAAGCACTGGAACTCTCATGACAAACGGTCCTGAAGATAAGGTAGCTCCAGACAAACCAGCATCTTTAGCAGTCAACTGTCAATATTGCCCCATAGAAAGTCCTGCAATCTTAAGTAGATTTTAATCATAATATAGTTTATAGAGCGCTAATCCATCTTAAATTCAGGTTTTGTTGAAGTTGCATCATACTTTAGCAACAATGATTTCCTTGAGCAGCCCACAAAACTCCTAAACATGGGAATCTACTGTTAGTTAGGTGCAAGAACCACGACAACCTTGGTAGCTGTGCCATGAAGTTTTTGTTCAGTGTTTTCCAAAACTGAAACCACATATTCTTCTTCAGCCAGACAAACTCTGGTTTCTTGCAGATCTTTTTGTGTTTCTTCCAGTTCTTTCTCCTTGATTTGCAGATCTGATTTACACTGCTCAAGTTCATTTTTACTAACTGTGAATAGTTCAGTGATCTAAAGTGGAAGACAAACACAAATAGGGCAACAGTGCTTTTTATAAGTTCAATAGTCCCACTTTACATCTCTCAAATTATGCCACAATACAAAAAAGCAAGTTGTCATCTACCAATGTAGTTTCACCTATAAGGCTCAGAGGTCTTAAGCCTAGACTACAGATTCATATAGTCTCTGTATTCACTGAATATATCACAAATCAACACCATTTTCTCTGTAATGATCCATTGCTTCCCCACTCAAACCACAAGACCAAACAACTGTTGTAGCACAAGAAAAAAATCCCACTAAACAAACCTAAGCAGACAGAATGAAGAAGAGTCAGTAAAGCTGATTACGCAGAGTGGTTACATATTCCAGCAAATTAATATATGCATTTCTTTTAAAGAGGAAGCTCCCGTTTTCTGTGTAATTTGTTAATGGGAGCTCATCACCTTCTCCTCTCTCTCCCCTCATTCGTTGCTTCTAAGCAGATATCTGTCAACTGAGAAGATGCCATTTTACAAGAAGAATATTACTGAAAACCTAGCAAAGCAAATTAAAGGTAAAGCGGTAGACATTAAAACAGCATTAAAAAAAACATATATTGCATCCTGCAACTTCATATATATTTCAACTTCTTAACTTCAAGGATTACAAAGCTTCTTCTCTTGACTAATTAGGGAACTTTAAGAACAAAAACTCTTCAGACTGTTCTTTGTTCAAACTTTTTTCCTCCTTCCCCAAAGGCTTCTTCAGTTTTGTTTTTTTTTTTTTTTTTTTAGCAGATTTAAGGCAGAGTTGAGAAATATCACTTACTTTTTTCACTTCTTCCTCCATGACACCGATTTTGTCAAGGTACTCTGCAATTTGTTCTTCCTGAATTGTCAGCTTTCCATTAAGGGCTCTCAAGCAAGCATTAAAACAAACAAAAAAGTCAAGAACTGATTTCAAGATTATCTACTGTTTTTTATATTACATACTCAGTAATTTTTTAAAATAAGTATTGTTAACTTCTGTATGGAAAGCAAGTAATTTTCACTTAATGCAGAAAGGATTTAAGATAATTTTCTATTGTAAACTTTCTGCATAAACTAGCCCTCTTACAAAGTGAAGTAAACTATGTAATTTTTTCTCCTATATGAACTTCCACTGAAAGGAAGTCTTTATGGTATAAATCTGCATCCCTGCTATGCTAATGGTAAGTTCCACATATAAATAAGATCCTCAGTGCAAACCTACTCTTTAGACTTCTATTTGTGTAATAATTAATTTCTAAAGAACAAGTGGACAAGTCAGTTATATTATTCTGACTATCTTCAATTTTCTGGTGTGAAAATAGATCTGAATGCATTTCTCTATAAGTATCTGAGATTTGTAAGTCATTTTACACAAATTTTGAAGACATACTCATAGTTTTCAAGGGAAATATAGACTCCATTTTTTTCTCGTGTAGCTACAAGGTCTCTCTTCAGACGTTCAATCTCTTCAGTATATTCCTGCATAAACAAATAAATCACATGTAAACCTGAAAATGTCTACTTTGCTTTCAAGGTTTAGCTTCAAGATACTTAACAAAGATAGTGGAAGTTTTGCATAAGCACAGGAACAAAATACTTAATTTCTGTTCCAAATAAGTTCAGTATAGCACCTTTTAAATTCATACCATTGGATACACATAGAACACCGAGACCTTCCATTTGAATCATATTTGGTTGCATATAACAATTTACAAGGGGAATTGCAGTTTCTTTAGTAGCAGTCAGCTACCTTACATTGGCTCTTCATTCATACTGACAACTCCAATTCAGACAGTTCTGAGGGAATGAAGCTGCTAATACAGAAGCTAATAGTGCTAATAGTGTCATTTAGTGGTTCTCCACTAACTTGTCAACAGGTAATCCATATACACAGCCATAGTTAGTTGCAATAGCCCTCTCTATCCAGCTTTAGTCTTTGCAGATACTGCAACTGTTGCTAAGTGACTAATGCTGTACCAGTAGAGCAGCTTAGTTTGAAAGCTTCAATTCAGTGATTAAAATCACCTCAGAAAAGCACTGCTACTAGTTATAGCTTCTCCACAACTTAGTAATTACTCCATAGCAAAAAGTATGTTAACAGAATCAAACCTAGCATAAGACATATGTCTAGCTTACCTTAATAAGAGTTTTTTTTGTTAGCTTCTGATTAACTTCAGGCTTGTTCATGATGTTCTTTGCTCTGTGGGCATATTCCAGAGTACTCAATGTTTCCTACAATAAACAGATGTAACACTAGGTTAAGCTGATGAGTTAACTCATATTTTGTATCATTAGCAAAAATAGTATCTATTTTTGGAATAGATTTTCAGACTTAAATTTACCTCAAGATTTGCAGATGCAGGAGAAATTGTGGCAATTATTGATGTTTTTGTTCGTCCCCCAAGAGAGTCTTGAAGGATTCTTGTGAGTTTAGATTCCCTGTAGGGAATATGTGGCGCTCTTTCTACGAGAGCAGTAATAACTCTTCCTAGTGTCAGAAGAGACTGGTTGATATTTCCAGCTTCACGAGCTCTTTTGTCAACTGCACCAGATCGACCAATGTTTTCACTTCCTGCAAGATCAACCTGAAAGAGGAAATACATGCTTCTGTCTCAAATCACCCTGAAGAACACTTGCCCCATAATGTTGTAGAACACAACACACCAACTAGCTTATGATAGTTCAGGAGACATCGGGGTGTCAAATGGGACAGACTTTTCTCAGAGTGACAAATATAGTTCATATCACTTTATGAAAAGCAGTAATTTTTACTTTTATCAGGAAAAAAAAATAAAATTTTAGATTCTCAAGAGAATGAGGTTGGATTATTCTAGCTCATTACTTTAAGAATGTCATCAGTGAAATTCAGTTCGAATAATTACCAAGTTTAACTTTCCAATTTTGACAAGTTCTTCTCCATCTGCTGTCATTTCTTTCATATGGATGGTAATAGAAAACACAGAGTGGGAACGGCTGCAAAAGAATTCAGATTCAGGCGGACATCCCATTAAAGCCAAATAATCTGCTTGCTACATGACACTGCTGCAAGTTAGGTATCCATGCTCTTTTTAGGGAATACATTTTGCCCATTAATTGGGACTTGCATGTTTTCAACACACAAAGTTATTCTACCAAGTATATTTTTGGGTGCCTTCATGTGAATGTGATACTAGACAACATTTGCCTCATTCAATTCTGGTAAATTTTATCTTGTTTCAAGCAAAACGAAGAGAAACACTTCGTTTTTGTTTACATTTGTGCGTTCTCAACTCACAGAAGAAAACCGGGTTGTATATTTTAAGTTAATACACTAAAAACAGTTTTACAGAATATGATATTAAGAAATATAGTTTTCTTTATTCAGGCTAAGAAAATCAGCAAGTAGCTGAATCCAATACTGAAAAATTAGAAGCTAAATTCAATTTTCATTCAAACAGTAGTACAGTTTAAAATTATTTTAGTTTGAGCTTATTCCTTCAATAAGCTTTTACAATAGGAAGCTGACATATACAGAAAACCACTGACATCAAATTACACCAGTTTGATCATGCATAAAAACAGTTCAGACAGAATGAATTCTCTAAATTCCTTGTACTTTCAGATTAAATTAGTTGTGTTCTAATCTGCAGTAGCCAAATACCCATTCCCCTGCACCAGCAGACAGATGTACTCAGTATATCTTTAATATAAAATATGATATGGGCAGGGTGTTCCTTGCTTATTGCAACACTGAATCACTACTCATTCGGTGACATAGATATTGCATCTGCAGTTTAAGAATATGAAATCTGTAATAAACAATATTTTTGATTAGGGTGCCTCTACTGGCTTCTGACTATGAGCTGCAATCATATTAAGTAGCCTGCAATGAAATGCAAAAAAACCCCTCAACCTTATCCTCAACTTCCACAACCCTGTTTGCAATTTTCAGAAGCTGGGGTTTAAAAAGAAGGTCATGTGTTGACCTGTAAAAACCAGATCTTAGAAATATTCTGAAATTCCAGCTTCAGTAACAAACACTAATACACCATTTTCTATTGCTGGTGAGGAGAGGAAAGGATACTTGAGACTCTCACACCATGTTTTTATTTAGTAAACACAACAGGCACTAAACCAAACCACACATAACTAGCACAAAGACAACCCACCTCTCTCACAGAGGTATATAAGCTAAACATCTTCCAAATATGAAAGGACTACAACCTTTTTGAATATGTACTCTATCTGCTGCAGGGAATATTTATCTAATACTAGCGCATACAACGTCTTTCAGCTATGTATCTGTCAGACATCTGCCTTCTGTTTCCATAGGCATGGAAAGCTTTGAAAAAAATGAGCTTCCTAACTTTGAGTTATAAATAAATTTCAGTATTCTACACGTCAGATTAAGAACATTCTGCTACATCCCACAGGATGTGATAAGGGAGAAGTTCTAACTATGGCTTTCTAACCCACATTTGGCATTCTGAGCAGCAATATGCAATATACAATCTTAAGATCATGCCAGGTTCCCTCTAGCTTGAACATATTCTACTTCTTTGGTAAGATACTGTTTAATGAAACAGGAACAAAACAAAGTTTATAAAACAGTGAAGATTTGTACCTAGAATATGCATTCATGTAAGTAGCTGCAGTTGTTCTTTTTGCTGCACCCCTTTCCAGGATTTTGTAGACTTCATTTTTGTTGTGTACAGTTACTTCTTCCAAGCCTTTAATAATTATACCCCTCTGTTAGAAAATAACGCATGCTTGTTATACATCTCAACAATCACTGAAAGCCTTAAGATGACAAATTTTGAAAGACAGCACTAACCTTGTTTCGAGGGTCATCAAACATCTGCAATCTTTCTCCAACATCAGAAGTAGGACTCAGAAGATCAAAAAGCTCCTCATTATAGATTTCCAAAAGAGAAACTTTCACTGAAAATTCTGTACTAGTCTCTTTGAGTTTGTCAAATATTTGATGCAATGTACGGGGTATTATACCTGCTAGTGGATCCTATAAATTAAAGTGAAGTATTTAATACACAGATTCATTTAAATAGATTGAGAGTTTCAACTAAATAGTTGATTTGACATAAACCTTGGACAAAGATCATCTTTCATATAAAGATGGAAGATTTGCACGTGTGCACTGAAGATGTAAAGTTTTGACTTTCATATAAATGAATGAGACCATTTGTTAATTTACAAACATTTAAGGAAAGTCAGCTTCAGTATTTGAAAGGTATCAACTTTAGGTTTTTTTCCTGTCTTCTGCAATTTCTAACTTTGAACTATAGCACAGACAATAGAAGTCTCAGGAGTGAAAATATACCTCTTCCCAAGTACACTCCTCATTGGATGACCGCTCCCCTTCCATTGTGAAGGTCTTACCAGTACCAGTTTGGCCATAACTGTGAGAATGAAAAATTAAAATGTAACAAAAAAAACAATATTCAAATAAAATTTCCTAATAATAATTACTGGCTTACTTACGCAAACACTGTACAGTTGTAGCCCATAATAACTTCATCCAAAATGGGACACACAACACTCCGGTATACATCAACCTGCTTTGCCTGAGCTCCAAAAACCTGTTGAAGCAAAGACAACACATCCCATTTATACGTAATGTATAACCAGAACATATTAGAGAAATGTATTATCTTGTTTCTGGAAGTCCCCAACTTGACAAGCAGTTACCATATCAAATGTGTAAGTCTTTCTCGATGTCTTATCTGTCACTCCTCCAGTGCGGACACTAACTTCATTTCTCGCTTGATCACACTCTACAACAGCATAGGAGGTTCCTTTACGTTCTGAGGCATTAAAAGGCCTAAAAAGACAGGAGTTCAGAATATTGGATTGATGTAACTACTAAGAATATAAACTGACAAAGCAGTGATATTACTCCAGTTTAAGGATCCAGACTAGTTCACTTGCAGAGAGGTGGAACGTTAAACATAATAAACAGTTTTATAAATAAGTCTTCAAGAAAGGAAGAACTTATACATGAAAGTTAAGGCAATAGTGTATCAAACTAATTAACTTTAAAAATTTCCTTTCCTTATTTTTCATTTACACAAGCAATGTAGCCTACTTCTTGCACTGATGACACTACACTAAAACACCAGAAATACTAACAGAACCTATGAATAGCAGAACAGTAGACAGCAATATCAGAGCCTTTATAATGCTGATGCATTTGAATAGAATTTGTGACTTGTGAACAAAATTTCATAAGAGATAAAACGTTGAATTTTTGGGGAAAAAGGTCCACATACCTTTTCACTCTGATTGAATTTTAAGTAAAGTTTAATACAGGTGCAATAAAAGCTTAGAAACATAACAGTGAGCATTTTGTTTCACGACTAAGCTAAACTTGATGCACACAATTTTCCTTGAAGGAATGTTTGCAACAATTTCTCTCAAAAAGAATGGAAATGACCATGGGCTGAAAACTAAAAGAATGAAATCCTATTTTATTACTTATTTAGCAGTGCTACTGCATTGAACGTCCATGCTACTTATGTAGTTGACCTGAACAGTCAGCCTAAAAATAGAACTTCTACAACCTTCGCAATCTTAGAACATCTTGACAGTAGAGGCACTTCAGATGCTGTATCTTTAAATGATAATGTAATAAGGGAAAAAAAATAAAAAGATACAAGTACATGTCATATCTAGTTTCCTGATTTGTGGCTAACATTTCTTCCTCAACATAGCACTGAGGCTGAAGTGTTAGATTCTAAACAGACCACTAGACACTTTGGTGCAAGACTGACTGGTGACAACAGATGAACACCAAAATCTTGTTCCCGGGGGCAAGTTACAGCTTCGGTTTTATGACTTTAAAATAGTAGAAGGTTGAGCAATTAATATGTTCTACTCTGTAGTGATATAACAGTGAACCAGTCAAATGCAGAAGCCTTAATGGTACGATAGCCCACAACTGTGAGATTAGAGGAATAGTTCAGCTAGGCTGGAGCATACCTGCAGATCATCGCTATGTGCCACCGGACAAGCAACAACCTAGTATGCCATGGTGACATTTGATCACAGGTTCATTCCCTTAGGTATGAACCATATTAACATTTATATTAAGAATGCTAATGCATGCATTTTGAGTGTCCAAATTAGTTTTACAAACACATAGTGAATGTGTTGCTTAATTTGCTTCTAAAACCTGGTGTGTCTGAGCTTTAAGACAATCTAAGCATCTATCTCCGTATCTGTAAGGTAAGTAGAACCTGACTGATGCATAAGAAAGGAAAAGCGGAAGGAACATTTACTAGCTCAAACACACTGAAGCTCTATTAAAAAAGCTGTACAAGCAAGAACATGCTAGAAAGTTTTAGGGGTTAGTACTTGGTCTAGGAGTTGCAACAAAAGCAAGACACTACACCATAGACAATCCTGATGCTATTGTCATATTGAACACTATATTTAATTAAAATATACAGATACTTAGCGAAGCTATTCCAGAATAACTGAGACTAATCAGATGAAAAAGGAAGTGATTGAGAGTGTTTCAAACTCAATTGCTTCGATGAAGTCATTCTTCTTTTGCAATAGCCTTGATTTACATCAACAATTTCACCAATCCCCTAGCATTTGTTTCAGCAGCTTTTTAACTGTGTTGCAAAAAGAAGAGAAAAATCACTTAAAATTTTTATTTTTGTTGTGCATCTACAAAAGTAGAACTTCCAAGCATGAGGATATAGTGAATGCAAAAAGGCATTATTAACAATCCAAAGGTATGTTGAACACCATTCTTAACCCATTAGCAGCATTTCAGTTTTAACAAGAAACACTTTTGGGAACATCTGACATCTGGCAAGTGAGCAAGTCTTTAAAGTCACCTCAAAATTACAAAAAGAACCCAATTTTATGTTACATGAAGTTTGCTATATCATACCCAAAATAAATTAATCTCATCAACCAAGGTCATTATTACTTAAGAAGCTGAACCCCACAATTTTTCATCTGAATTCAGAGTCTGTATCACCAAATGCATGCGAAAGATATACGAAAGCGGGTGTTGCAAAAATTTTATTAGCTGTTAAATCGTAGTAGTTTCCCACAGATGCTCAAAGAAGATAAAAATTCAGACTGCTTTTTTGTGTGTCTTGAATATCAGTCTGTTGTGGTTTGGGCCTGATGGGCAACCAACCCCCGCAGTTGGTCACCCTCCCTTCCCCCTCCCCACCTGGGAATGGGGGAGGGGATTAGAGGGGTGAAAGGAGACTCGCAGGCTGAGATAGGAACAGGTTAATAATGGCAAGAAAACGAGAACAATAACGATGATGGGGGGAAAACAAAAAGAAATATATAAACAGGCACTGTACAGCGTAATTGCTCACCACCCGCTGACCAATATCCAGCCCGTTCCCGGCCAGCGACCCCGAGATACCAAGATCCCACAATCGCAATCCTGGAAGTGAGAGAGAGAGAGAGCCCCTTCCCGACCACCCCTCCTCTCTATAGTGAGCATGACGTTCCATGATATGGAATATTTCATTGTCCAGTTTGGGTCAGGTGCTCTGTCCGTGCTCCCTCCCTGCTCCCTGTGCCCTTGCGCACGGGCAGGACATGGGAAGTCGGAGAGTCCTTGAAGTCTCAGCAGCAGCTGAAAACATCAGTGTGCTATCAGCATTCTTCTCATACCAAACCCAAAGCTAAATCCAAAACACAGCACTCATCTAGTCCCTGAAAAGGAATATTAACTCTATTTCAGCCCAAACTATGACAGTCATACTCTCATTTAGCTCTTCTTAATCTTCCTACATAGCTTCATACTGTGTGTGCACTGAATCAAGTCAGGAAATTGCAACTTTGTGCCTTTTTAAATTGCAGGGGATTATTCACGGCAGCGTTAATTTTGCGACAGTGCCGATTATCTCCGTCAGCTATAGGGCTCCGCCAAACAGCGCGGACAGTCAATGCCCCGGACGGGTATTACAAAGGGCAGCAACGAGCGCCGGTGGGAGGTAATGGCGGGCTCTTTGACAGCGATATATCCGGAGACCTTACGTAGCTCTTTCCCCGAGGCCGTTGGGCAGAACAGCGGGCTGCACAGCCCCGGCAGCCCCCCTCGGCCCGCCCGGCGCTCCAAGGGACGCCGCGGCAAACACTTCAGGCCGAAGTCCCAAGGGGAACTACGAGAAGGGGCTGCACCAGCACCCCGCGGGCCTACCTCCAACGCTCGCCCAGAGCGGGGAGAACCGCCGCACCTACCTGCACCGCACCACCACCTGGATATTCTTGCCCTTCTCCTCCTTCCTCAAGCCGCTGCCGCCGCCGCCGCCGCTCTGGAAGCTGAGAGAAGACATGACGGGCCTCGGAACGAGCCGCAGTACGCAGTCCGCGCCGCTACGGAGTGACCGGAACTCGAGACAAGCGCCCGCCGCTCACGTGGGCTTAGGGGCGTGCGCGCTCCGGCGCCTTTTTAACCGCGCACCCCCCCCCCTTGGCCGGCCAATCAGCGGGAGCCCGCGGGGCACCATGGGACCGATGATCAAGTTTTGGTGGTGACGCAAGGCCGTGGCGGAAGTCGGTAGTCTCACCCCGGTTCCGCCGCGAGCGCGCTGCGTGCTGGGGGTGGTAGTGCCCGGTCGGGCGCGGTCACGTGACCGAGCGACGGCGGGCCCCGCCGCGGTCGTCATGACAGTGCGAGGAGGCGAATTCGGTCGGGCGGGTCGCGGGGTGACGGATCCCGCCGCAATGGACGCCGCGTTTCCGTTACAGCGTCTGAGCTGGTCCGCTAAGGCCCTGGTGCTGCCCGTCGCGCGCCGACCGCACCGCTGTGACGTTTTACCTGGTGTCAAACCCCAACCTGCCGGGCAGGTGGTGGGTTTTTTTTGGCCGCCCTCCCACGCATGCGCACGGCAGCGTGAAGGCCTGTGCAGCTGCTGCTGAGCCGCCGTGCGTCTGAGGGTATCCGAACTTCTCGCCTCAGTTACCGTCCTTCGAGATTCACACCACCCGTGTAATCCTCCCTCACAGGCCAAGTCCTCTAGCCATTCATTCTTCTCCCGCTGGCTCTCCAGTTTGTCCACGTTTTCTTTAAAAGTCGCATTCAAAATTAGAGAGCACCTGACTGATGACTAGTGGAGTGCAAGCATTACCTTCACTGTTAAAAAAAAAACAAAAAAAAAAAACAAAAAAACCAAAACAAACATTTTTATTTATGCAGCGGGGCACAGAGTTCCCAGCAGGACACCCTGCTGCCCCCTTGGTCGGTGATGCCCCGTTGCCTCGCATTTGCTGCAGAACTGCCAGGCCAGGTGGTTTCCACCCCTCTGCTGTGCACTGCACTGGCCCTACCTGCCTCTGGTCTCCCTGCACGTTGGACTCCGGTGCAATTCATCGACATCCCTCTGAATTCTACACCTAACTTTCTGCGTGTTTACAGGCTGGTAAAGCCTAAAGATACCCATACAGTTAAATACAAACTGAGTAACAGGTGTTGCAGTTACCTTAATAAAACAGTTTGGATCCTAGAATATTATTTTGATTTTAGTTTAAAAGTATGATTTTGACTTAACATGAAGCTACAGTAGCTCTGAGAATATAAAGTACACTGAGGCCCTTAGGATTAAGCAACTAGTATGCTGTGTGCCTTGAACACTATAACAATCGTTATGGACTCTGAATTAACACAATAGGTACTGGTTATGGATCTTGACTTGAAACAATAGGTACCAGAGGAAAACTGGTTTTGTTGGGAAGATCGGCCAAGGGAAAGGTGAGCGTTAGCCAAAGGTGGAGTGAGCATGCGCAAGGATGGAGTTCAGTCAGCCAACACAGTGATGAAGACTATCGACGACCACCAGAGGACCCCCGTCCAGTATAACCACGCATGCGTTAGAGACATTTGCATATGATAATAATTTCCAGGAACTAACATGAATATGCTAATCACTGCCCTCCCCCCATTCTATTTAAATCAATCGGTAAAGATGACCAATGATTTCTGTAAAATAGGAATATAGATAAGATGAGGTAACGGAAAGCCAATCATTATTAAGGTCAACTTAAACTTTATGAATTTTGTTGATCTTATGTAAACATGACTCTGCTGAAAAAGTGTATAAATAGGTTGTGCTTTATACCTGTCGGGGAACACGTCTTTGGTGGAGTTATCCCCCGTGTTCCCCAGCGCTGGAATAAAGAAGTGCCTGCTTACCTGCTGTGTGTAGATAAGTTATTTCGTGATTGCAACCGCTAACAGTTTTGGCGACCCAGATGGGACCTTGCGAGTGAGACTGGACGGGATCGAGCTCTGATCGAACTCCAGCCGGCACCGAGGAATTCTCAGGGAGAACCATCGCTCTGGACCCATAAAGCTCCTCACAACGTCCCCTGGAAAGGTAAGGCACTTCTTTCTGAATCTGTGGAAAGCCTGCCTGTCAGACGGAGCGAAAGTTCCGCGTGGTTGGGGCTAGGGAATTCCCGTGCAGTGGAAGCCTAGGTGCTGCCCGTAGGGCGAATAGGAAAGTTTAGCCGGGTTGGCATCAGTGTAAGTGGTGAAAGGGAATTAAAGGAGCGGGGCCCGCGGGACTCCTTGAGAATAGGACTCTCTTGGGCGCTCCCAGGAACTTTCCTGGAGGGACTCCTTATCTCAGTTGAGTCACTGCGAGCAATAAGGCAAGGATTATTAGAAGAGGGTCTGGGCTGTTCATAAATCATGAGACGTGGGATCTTGCGTGGAACAGCGTATACCAGGGTTGCTAGCACCTCACTGGTATACATCTGGTCAGGAACACTTCGGTGTTCACATCGGTACTTTCTGGTCTTGATAAGGGAAATTGTATTTTTCATATTCTGTAATTTGTTTCTGTGCTTCTGAATCTTGTAACTTTATAACTTTGGTAATACAGGAAAAAATGAAACACTGTTGAAATATTGTTGAGGTCTTATGCATGAATGAGTGAGTGAGACGTGCAATTACGCACGAAGCGAGTGTGGAGCTTTGATCCGCGGTTCTGTTATCCCACGAGGGGTGCAGCCGGAGATAAGCGAAGCAAAAGGAAAAAAAAAAAGTAAAAAAAAAAAAAAAAAGTGTATACGGTCAGTTTACTATGGCATTTAAATTCTCAAACCTGTTTAAAGAAGGGAAAGGGAATAAGAGTTCTATACCAAGAATGCATGATGAATTAAGCAAAAGTCAACTTACTGAATTTTGTAATCATGAATGGCCATTGTATAAATTAGAAGATGAAGAAATGTGGCCCCTGAATGGGACCTTAAGTTATAATACTATTTTGCAATTAATGTTATTTTGTAAAAGGGAAGAAAAATGGGATGAGGTTCTGTATGTAGATCTGTTATCTGCGAGAAAAAACAGAGTGGCAAAATGAATGTGGCCTGATTAATCAAGTGATGTCTCTCATGGTAAAGGATAAAAAGGTTCAGGAATGTTGCCTCACATGTACTTCCACCAAAATGTGCTTTAAACATTTGGCACTGAAGGGAAGGGGATATACAGAAACAGGTCCTGAATTAGATATTGCTCCTACTGCCCCAATAATTCCTGCCGTTCCCATATACTCCTCCCATTCCACTACCTTTCTCTGAATGTGGACCTGACTACGGACCTAGGCATCCGACTGGGCAATCAGCCCAGGGTGCTGATTTTAGAGAAGGGCACATGCTACAATTTTGCAATTGTTTTTACAGATCTCAAGAGGTCCTTTAAGGGAGGAATACAAGGGGGAAGAGGAAGATTGACTGACAGAACCCCTCGGAATAAATCAGTATGCCTTTTGTGAGAAGGAGGGGCACTGGAAAAAGGATTGTCCAAGGAAGTTAAATAGTTAGCAAACAGCAGCTAATGTGATGATTCTAGGAGAGTATGCAGATTGACGGGGACCGGAGGTGAAACCAGATGAGCCTCTGGTTACAGTTAAGCTGGGAGAGAAAGAGGTTACATTTTTGGTGGACACTGGAGCAACATTCTCAGTTCTGAACAAACAGAAGGGGTGATAGCATCTAAAATGGTAAATATTGTGGGAGCCACAGGGAAGGAGGAAAACCGGCCATTCTTACAACAGTTGTATTTACAATTTGGAACTAAAATCATAACATATGAATTTCTGTACGTTCCAGAATGTCCAGTACCCTTAATGGGAAGAGATTTTGTTGGGAAAATGTTGCAATGCAGTGCTGCTGCACAAGCTGTTCTATCAGCTCTGTCCCCTGTATAGCCCCAGCCCAGGGCTGCAAGCACAGTCGACTGAATAGAGCATCAATAAAATGTTGTAACAAAGGTAATGATGGGCCTGACAGTTCGAAGGATGTTGATGTATGAGAAACTGACCTCTAGCTACCGAAGTGATGGGAGATCTATCATGGTGATTACCAAGAACTGAGACGTACAGAACTTGAGGTAATCGTCCTTGAAGACTAAAAGAAAGAAGAAACAAAACAACGAAGTAGTCGGACTCCAGAACAAGATGTGGAACCCACTGTCAAGATAATAATGACTGATAAAGTATAATTCTGTGTATTTTGGATTAGGTAATGCTTTGTAGGTGCATAAATACATGTATGCGAACTCACGTAAGCTGTCACTCTCTGCGGAGGTGACCCAACGCTGCTGGACCTGAATAAAATCCTAGAGTAACCCACGACGGAGTTCGAGTCTCCTTTAACAGATTTGCTATCCAAATTAAAAGCTCAAATAGTTTTTGAAAATGGAGAACTGTTGTTAAAAATACCAGAATCAAAAACAGGGGAAATTCTGATGATACAGGAAAAAACAAAGATACAAGAAATCCCCCCAGAAGTGAGTTATGCAGTAGTTCCCATGGTGTGGGAAACTGATGTCCCTGGAAAATCTAAACTGGCACAACCAGTGAAAATTGAATGAAAGGAAGGAGCAAAATCAGTTAGGATCAAACAATACCCAATTAAACCTGAGGCAAAACAGGGAATTGAAAAGCTGGTTGACAAATTCTTGAAATATAAGATTTTAGAATAATGTGAGTCAGAATATAATACCCCTATTTTACCTGAAAGCCCACAGGTGAGTATAGATTGGTACAGGACTTGAGATCTATAAATCAAATTGTAAAAGACATTCACCCGGTAGTGGCAAATCCATATACCTTACTGACAGCCCTTAAAGAAAAATGTCAGTGGTTTACAGTGCTTGATTTGAAAGATGCTTTCTTTTGCATACCCCTGGAACAGGAAGGTCGTAAGCTGTTTGCTTTTGAGTTGGAAAACCCACAAACAGGGCATAAAGTACAGTTAACCTGGACACGACTACCCCAAGGATTTAAGAATAGCCCAACAATCTTCAGCAGCCAACTTGACAAAGAGCTAGAGATATGGACAAATGAAAAGACAGTGACTCCGTGACGAGAACATCTACTCTTACAATATGTGGATGACATCTTAATAGCTACAGAAGAAAAGACAGCCTGTATACAGGTAACC